AAATTATGCCTTTTTCCTAAAAAAATTTTAAAACGCAAAACCTGCAATGAAATTTGAGAAAAGCATGGTGAGAATGCTGTAAGTGAGCGTCAGACCCAGGAGATATTTGCGAGCAAGCTATCGGAAGATAGCGAAGGCACTAAGCAGGAACCACATGGCAGTGCGGAATCATCTAACAAGAGCTGGCTGCTCAAAGAAGGTTGATGTTTGGGTGGGCGCGACATGAATTAACGCATTTGAATGCGAGAATAAGCAACGCAGGCGATCATGGACCCACCACATACGACTTCAAAGCCTGAATTGGCGGTAGGCGGTGTTTAGTGGGATTGGGAAGGAACTGTAGATTATGACCTACTGCATCTCCTACACACATTTTTCCGTAACTATAATGTTCAGGTCGTCTGATTAAGTTGTCGCCTACCACAAGAGAACAAAGCAAAGAAGAAAATGATTTTGCTGTTGTTGTCCAAAGGTGGTGTGATTTAGCACTCAAGAACCACAGCATCGATCCAAACAGCAGTAGAACGGTGTCTTTGTCTTATAGACTAGTACGCGATTTGGTAGTACGTAAGACAAATACCTTCCCTCAATAACTAGCCCTAAAAACAGATCAGAAAATCAATGTACCCTCAATACAAACTTATTTGCACTAGTGCTGGAAAAATACCATCGCCATGAGAAGCTTTGTAAGTGCGAAATACTACACTGCCAACCGTAGCTTGCCCCTGTCCAAAATGGAGCCAGACCTGATATTATTTTTCACTCTTGGAAACTAGGAGGCATCCGATCTTGTTCTTCCAAAGAGCCTATGAAATCCACTTTGAGCAAGTATTTCAAAACCTCCCTGGTGTTGATGGCAAGGATGCCGTCGACGAAAAAAGTACTTTTGAAGCTCTAAAATTTCCTATAATTCGTATTCATACCTGCTTACAATTCTAAGAGTATACAAATTGCACTCAATATACCCCCTTTAGAAGTATCAGCAAAAACTTACTGGCGCCGCACAGTAGCTGCAGTTGACCTCCAGCCTTCCTGACAGACTGCCATGTCATGTCAAAGAAACATGTCATTTGCTTAGCTACTGTCTTATGTAATCTCATGGCTGCACCCACACCAATTGCGCGGCGCCAGTAATGCTGCCCCAACCACTGTGCGCTGGCTGGCGCCAATCACTTCGCCAATAATAAATACAACAATAACAACAGTTGCCTTAAAGGCAAAAATAAAAACAAAAGCAAATAGTTTTACATACATTGAGAATAACAATGTGATAAAATATATGTAGCGAAGAGCTGAGTGTTTAACTCATTTGTGAAACTCTGAAGTCAAAACACTTGGAGCAATTGACGGCAGTCAGTCTAGGGAATCGAAGAAGACTTTTACGACAACAATTTTTGATGGGTTTCCTTTGCTGAGGCCACTTATGATTTTGCTGTTGCTTTCTTATTGTTCTCTTTCCTTTCTTTTACTTTTTTGATTCCAGATGTTCAGTGCGTGTAGGGTAGTGATGTGCTGATTATTTCAATACTCGAATCAGTTTTACCATTAGGCTTTACTACAAATTTCATAGCTCATAATTTTTTTACATATTTATTTTTACAAAATTCAGTAGTTTTTTCAAGGCGGGATGTGTTTCCCGTAATTGTGCGTCGCGCCCATTATACTTGCTTCACTCAAATACACATTGTTCGTCTATGGGGAAAACATCATCTTATTTGAACTTTTTATATTTTTAGAGTAGACGATATCCTATAAAATAACAATGAAGTAAATATTTTCGGGTTTCCGAAATATTTTTGAAGTAGGTATATTGGGCACCGAATATTGGGTGTCGACAAATTAAGCACATCACTAGTGTAGGCTATTTGTATTAAAGTGAATGTGTATCGTCATATATTTTCTTCCATTGTAATAGTTTGCTTCCGCTTGATTAAGCACACTTACTCACTTACATGCATAAATACATATTAATAACATTACGCATTATTCGAACGCTTGACAACGTATTACATACATTGAATAAATATGCCCACCACTAGATGTGATAAGAATGCATATTCCTACAAATGTACATTACGGTGGTCCAAAATTTTTTCCAACCACCCTTAGAAATGAAGACTATTGAAAACAAGGAGACCTCCATTTTAGTTTTTGAAATCGGCTAATATTTAACCGTGCAGCCGGGGCTTTGAAGTCGTCCATATATTTTCCATGGGGAAAATTTTTTTTTCGTATAATTGCTATAAGGGCGTTTTGAAAAGTTTTTTGAGATAGGGCGTTTTCGAACTGGCTGCCGAGATAGTTTGATCTTGCACTCAGCAGTCGATTTGTTCAAAATGAATTTTACGCCAACGCTAAATTTTATTAATTGCGGTCAACCCCTGGCATACGTCGGATTCAGATCCCTCGTAATTATTTCTAGTTTCCAAATTGCGAATTGGCTCGAGGAAAAGGCATTTGGCTGCAACCTAGAAATACCTTCTTTTTATTTCCGAGTGCACTTGAGCACAAGGTCATATATGTATTGCTCGGAATGAATTACTGAACCTGTATGATGTTGCATGATGAACAAGAGACCTTAAAAAAAATCAATGTCGCGAGGGATTTGCTGTGTGCATGGATTGAAGGAAGAGTAATTTTAAGCACTTGAGGTGGAAGTACAAAATCCCGTCAGAATGAATACTTGTACATCAATACCGGAAAAGTATGCGAAGGAAGTGGCTTACGTAACGTAGAGATACATACGCCACAATGAAAGTGTTGCGTTTGCGAACAAAAATCAGCTGTTCTTGATGGCCGCGTACTTGCGGTGCACACAAGTCCCTTTTTCAGATACATTAGCAGTACATTCACACTTTTTTACTAATATATTCACAATTCTCTCATTGTCTTCGTCCCTGTCTTTGACAGTTTATTGTCTGGACGCCTTCCTAACTCAAACAATGTGACAACTAATATATACATATTCTCCATCATATTGTCTTGTGCAAACGCTGGGTTATACAACGTCAGCATTCCCGGATTTACTTTCATCAAAAGTTAAGAGTTGGCCAATGTTTGCAGAATTTAAAAAATTTTGCTCTTTTAGTTCTCAAGGACGAACAGGTATTGCAAATGTCCTTTTAATTTATTTTATTTTTCTTAGCTAATAATGTTGGAAGGGTGAAATTCGCGGATCTGGCCCTGTGTATATTATATGCTAACATACAATTTTTTCAAGAATACTTATTGCAAGTTTTCAAGCATATTCAATAATTAATTTGTAAAAGAACTTTTTCGGTTCCAATCCTTTTGCACCAAAAAATTTAAACTTTTTAATTTCATATAATTTTCTCTTTTATATAATAATGTGGCTATTCTCCATTGCACTGAGTTTTTTTAATAATTTTTATAACTTATCATATCTTTAAAATATCAAAGTCCTTTTGAAAACATACTGGCGTCAGAGAGTAAAACTGAAAAACGTAGTTTCACTAGTTTCGGCACCTAGTTTCGCGAGTATATTATTTTTTTTTTTGTGTGAAAAATTTACTGTCACACGGTATTACAGTTGATAAAATTGTTTTCCGAATCTTTCAACATGTAAAATTGCTCTATTAAAGAAAGAATACAATATGAGACTTTTGGGACTGTTTCAATTGAACTAGCAAGTCAATGTCAGGATTGAACGAAGATGATTTTAATCTTATGCTTTTCTTATCTTCTCTGATGGTTTATTCAATTGCTTCTAATAGTTTTAATATCGATTCGCGACCCACCTGTAAGCCTTCCGCGACCCAATAGTGAGTAGCGACCAACGGTTTAGAAACTATGTCCTACAAAGTTTCAATTGCCCCCCACTGCATACCTTTTGCGATAGTTCCGAGCCATTTATAAAATTGGACATATGAGTGCTAGTTTGTGCTGCCTCTCTTATTCTATAGTTCTGAAATATTTAGATCTAAATTCGTCACCTTAGATATATGTAGATTTCGAATGAAAAGTTTTTTTATTCCTTGAGACTTATCACATTTTTTGTCACTATTTTGTACCAATCAAATTTGCGTATCACCGAATGGAAACGATTGGAAATAAAATAGGTAGTTCGATCCGTTAGAAAACGGTGTATTTTTAATTGTTCTTGCTTCTTGCATTAAAATACATTTTTTGTAAAGTGGACTTATCAGCTTCTCACTGTGAGTTAGCGACATGTTGGCGATCTAGTAGCTAACGGACTGGTTCATTTTTGGCGATACAGAACTATTACTGAACGACTAATTTGATTCCCTCGTTGGTGTTTCCACTGCAGGGACTTTACAAAGAGCTTTTGGCACCACGACTATTCATTAATGCAATGCGTTGGCTCAGCAATAAATTGGTGATTTCTTTCATTCCTTTATTAAATTAATTTTATTTGTTTTAGAAATGTTTATCGCCACATTTATTATGCGTACGAATATGTAATTTCCTTTTTATTATATGTCCATATCTATTCGGTGTGAGTGTGCTTACATGTACCTATAAGTATGCGTGCGCATGTGGCACAGCATTAATGAATCGTACCGAATGAAGTGTTGATGGGCGCTTTTTTATTAAAAATATATGTACATAGACATGGTAGTGATTGATATTGTGGTAATATTCGTAATCCACAACCGAATTCTTTTATTCTAAAATGAAACAAAGNGTTCTTTATTCTTTTGTTGCTATTCTTGCTTTTATGCGCTCGTAAAAGTCAATCAAAAATATGTTTTCATAGAATCTTACAATTTAAAAATGCATTCTTTCATAAACAAGTGTGTACTTTTGAGTATGTAAATATGTGTTAGCATTATAATTATATACGTACATACATATGTACATATGTCTGTACACTTGTATAAAACTATAAAAAAAGCATTATAATCCACCAATTGAAGTGTCACCTTTTATGATTATTTGTAATATTTCGATTAAGAAATCTAAAAGTCTTCGAACAATTAAATTTTAAATTCATGGCGTTCTTTCTTTACTCATTTCAGAGTCATTGCGTGTCGCCGACTTTCGAGAAGGAGCTTCGTGAACAATTGGATAAGTAAGTTTTTTAAATGTAATGTCCGTAGATATTTGGTGCTAAACATAGTCTTAAAGTATTTTTTGTTAAAAAAACAAACAAGCCTTATTCCTTTTGAATCTTAATAAAAGCTTAACAAATTAGATACAATTTTTGAAAACTACGAACGCAGATAAATTTTTTCCCTTCATTTTATTTTTAATATAAAAATAAAAAAATCCAGTTTAAAATCGAATAGTTTTAATATAAGATACAATTTATCGTTTATAAGATACGAATTATCGGAAAGGTTAGGGTATTTTTTTCAAAAGCATTAACCCACTAAACCAAGTGCTATCCCAAATGAGGAGATCGAAGATTTCACCTCCGATATCTCCCCCAAAGTATTGAAGATGCGTGATCCCAAATGCTTCGACTGTAGGCGCGGGCAGGGACTCAGAAATTGCTAAATTGATTCCTCCTCATCCTCATCACGGAGTTTTGGAGTAATAGCACAGTGAGTCGTGATGACGCAGAGCCCTTACTGCGGATTTATTAAGTTTCATAATAGGCGCCATAGACGGTGCGTCTGACTCGCGAGTCATTTGTGTACGTGTTGACTCGCCTTTCGACTACACACAGTTGAGTCGTTTAGAGTCAGGTCGGTGTAACTAACACATATTTAGTCAGATGCACCGTGTATGCTGCCTATAAGTTCCCTGTCTTCTTTCTACTAAGCCACGTCCTTAACAATCTTGAGTTCTCACAGTCTCTCCACTTGGCCACAAGTTATTAGTAACGGCTATGATGAATCCGTCGATTTTTCTAACGTGATTACTAGGGTAACCAAAAATATGCCGTAAAAACATGGTTTTAGGCGCTTAAAATATGCGCGATAAAATAAGAAATATGCATAAATATGCACGAATAATATCCAAAACATGATTAGAATATGTATTAAAAAAAATAAACAGCTCAATTTTTCTTGGGTAGAAATCATTTGCATTTTATTCAGAAAAGTGCAATAACACTGGTAAAAGTAAAATATTCCACATTCAGAACATATTCGCTTACATAAGTATAGAATTAAAAGTGCAAATTTAACTTAAATAAATATTTTTGTTACAATAAAGAACGAAATATTTGGAGAACAATTTATCAGCCGACACGTTTTTGCTACACTTTTTGCAATTCAGAGTTGGAATTCATTTACATACATACTGGTTTAAGTTCGAGGATTTAAGAGCTTTATGCTTCAGCATCTGAGAAGCAGCACTGTCTAATCTATACATATAATAAAGTAACAGGCCGAAGCCAAATCAACAATTTTTAGAATTTTTGTCTGTCTGTATGTTTGTACGCGCATCACTTGGAAACTAGTTAATACATGAAATCGAATACAGTTTTCACCTATGTATGTATTGCTTGAGGTGTAACTTAATAAACAGAAGAAACAAAAATCGATAGTTGCCACCTGTTAGAAAATTGCAGTTGCGAAATATGTCGAAATATGCTGTAACATATATGGCTAAAAACTTTATTTTTTACAATTAGAATTACTAAACAGCATCTGGCCATCTCATCCTTCAACTCGCTCTCTCTAACGACGAAGAACATTGATATGGCTGAGTGACGCCAAAGTGGCCCGACATTTCCCCATCACCCCCAATTTCAGTGTTTTAGATTTCTCTTGCTACCAAGGTTGTAAGTTGTGAAACAAGCAAAGCTTTGCTAAGCCCGAGGTCGCTTTGGGTTAAATTATTTGACCCGCACTTTGCTTAATATGTTCCTTCAAAATTTTTAGCTGGCAAAAACCTTTCTCATAGCCATTCCATAAACTGTAAGAATTTTTTATCAGATCAATTCTCAGATGCCTGCCGAGTTTAATGATTGTTTTGGATCTCTCAGCTGATATTTCCAGAATGAAGGTTTGGGCCGTAATTTGAAGTCTCATTTTT